AACTGAATCCTCCAAAGCGTCCTTCAGTTGACTGGCCCCATGCATGGTCTGGGCCCACTCTCCCTCCCCCTCCGACTGCATCTCCCCCTCCTCTGCTCCAGCCACACCGGCTCCCTTCTGCTCCTCTGCACCCCTCATGGCGCCCACCTCCCGGGCTTCGCAGAAGCTGCCCTTCGCCCGGAATGCGTTTCCTCCACACTTCACCTGGTCACTCTTGTCATTCGGGCCTCAGCTTAAATGCCACCTACTCAGAGGGGCCCTTCTGGGGCCTGCCCTCTTAGCAGGCCATCCCTCCTCGGCCCGCTTCCTCCGCCTCACTGCTGGCCTCGCTGGGCCGTGTGCTCCGGCCGCCACTGAGTCCCCCCCACACTCCGGGGGGGCTCCGGGAGGGCGAGGGGAGCCCCAGGCAATGCGGCTAAAGCTCACTCTACTTTGTGGTGCAGGCTGGTCTACCAGTAGTCGGGCTTAGCCACGGGGTTGGGCATGGTGCTAGCTGGTTTCAAGATTAGCTCTAGAGACAAGCTTGGGTTAGTTTAGGGAGTCTGTTTGGGGTTCGTGTGTTGAGATGTGTTTAGATGTGGCATTAGGGCTGGGTTTGGGTTGAGGTTAAATTTGGGTTAGAGTCGAAGTCGGTATTAAATCCCAATTTCGATTTTGAGGCCAAGTTCAGGTTTGAGGCGAGTGCCGTCTCAGCCAGGTCGGGAGCCGCGGAGAGTCCCCTGGCCTCTGCCGAGACCACAGAGACCGGCCGAGCTGGACACAGGCTCAGGCACCAGCTCTCCCCTCGGGAAAGCCCCGGGCCAGCTGCTGGCCACCCCAAGAAAGAAACCAAATTTCACACAAGCTCCTTCGAAACTGAGATTGAAACCAAGATTGGCCCATCTGAAGGGGCGCCCTCAGCACAGCGCCCTGTGATGCCGCCTCCTCTCTGCCGCCCCACCACGCCTCCCTTCCCCTTTCTGTCCGGCAGCGCTCCTCTGCCCTCTGACCTCACGGTTTCTCTTTCTGCTGTAACTGCAGGCCCCCTCATCCTTCCCCAGAGCGGCGTCTCTGGCCAGCCGCCTGCCGTGCGGAGCGGGGGACAGCCGGGACAAGAAAGGACCAGAGAAGGGGCAGGAGGAAAGGAAAGGGGCAGGAACCCGAGGGGGACCGACGGCCCGAGGCAGTGAGGCTGTAGAGCAGGACCCGAGGGGCGGCTGCGGCATTTAAAGAGCCGTGACCACGGTCTTCCTCCGCCAGCCCTGGGGCTCTGCTTCTCCTCTCCATCCGCCGCCGCCCCGCTCCGCTCCGGTGCAGGCTCCGCCCCCCCGCGGGCCGCTGCCGCCCAGCCCGGTCTGCACACTCTGGGCTCCCGCGCCTGCCCACTTCTAGTAGCTGCCAGACTCGGGTTCCTAACACCCATCGGGGGCCCTGTCACCACCAGTGCCGTGCAGGCCGCTCTGGGTCTCAGACCTTCAGGAGGAGTCCTCGGCCACACGCCAGGCCCCGGCCACACGGCCCCCTCCGAACCCCCCACGCGCCATGCCCTGAGCGCCCACCAGGGACCTTGACACACCTGCTGCCAGGGCCCGGTGACCCCCCGTCTCCCTCTCCGGGTCCTGAGGTCCCGGAGGGCAGGAGCCTGTCCTTTGCGTCCGAATTCTCAAGGTCTTGTCCAAGGTGCTCAGGAGGTGCCAGTGGGACAGAAAACACAGGGTACGGCATGAGAACGCAGGTCTCAGCGAAGACTACAGGCAGGACAGGCAGGAGGGCAGCGCTGCGGCTGCGGCGGGAGCCCCACTCCGACGCCCCGGGCTGGCTGCCAGAGCAGAGGGCACCTCCATCACCACCACCCTCAGCCCCAGCCGCTCCACAACTGCGAATGGAAGCTTTCGGCATTAGTGGGGGTAATGACTGTGTTCTCAGCCTCATGAAACACGAGTAAAAAAGTCTTTAGGAACCTCGCTTGTTTTAAACCTGCAACTTACAAGCTAAGTGAAAACTGTTCAAGAATGTTCAGGTCAATGTTTTCCACGCTGGCCAGTTCCAGGAGGAGCCCGAGGCCCCTCCGCAGGCAGACGAATGGGCAAGTCAGGGAGTCTCCGCACATCAGAAACCTCCCGCAGCGCCGGCTCCCGCAGCCGGAAGGAGCCGCTGAGCGCCTGTGGTTTGGGTCCCGGCCCGCGGCAGGAAGAGCTCACGGCGAGGGGCCCGTGCTGCTGGCTGGAGGGCGCCAACGGAGGCCTGAGAAGGTGCTGCGTGGCTGCCCCCAGGCGGGAGCCCTGCCAGGCTGCTGCCCGAGGCGGAGCCCGCACAGCTAACAGCGGCCACGCTGAGACCCGCCGGGGCGGCCTAAGGAGCCCCGTCGTGGGGCCCGCAGGGGAGGCAGTGAGAGGGCCCCGGTGCGATGCGGCTTCACGGCAGTGAGCCCGGCACCGGGTCCGGGTGGGACTGCATGCCTCCCCGGACTGAGCCACAACCAAGGGCCCAGGCTCCGTGATGTGAACCTCCACTGGGCACCGGGCAGGGCCGCTGGGACAGGACAGGGGAGGGGGAGAGGGGTGGCAGAGAGAAGCCCGCAGTCGGAGGACGCCCAGCTGTTCCACGAACCGCCCTCCGGCACCAGCTGCTGCCCTGGGCTCCCCGAATTCACCGTCCTTCTCTGGAACTCCTAGGCCTGACCCCACTCCCGGCCTCCCGGCCCACAATTCCCCTGACCCCCACCCACCCTTCCCAGAACCCAGGCGTCCGCGCAGCCTGCGGTTGGTTCTCTGGGGGCCTCAGCCTTCCTGCCTCCGGCTGAAGGCAGCACCTCCTAAGCCCTGGGGGCTTCCCCGGCCGCCGGCCCAGAACCGCCCGCCGCTGCCGCTTCCTCTATAAAGGCCCGGCACGCAGGTGAGCCCCCGCCACCCTCTCCCGCGCCCCCCGGCTCGCCCCGCGCCCCGCCGCCGGCCTGGGCCTGGCCTGGCCTGGGCCGCTGGCCTGGTGCTCCTCTCACTCCCAGCTCGGTGGGCCTCTTCCTCTCGGTCTCCGTCTGCCTCGGCCTCTGTGTCTGCCTCCCCCGCCCTGCTCCCCCTCCTGTCTCTGTCTCCCTGCTCGCTCACCTCGGTCCCCGATGCATCTCGTCCGCCTCTGCCTGGGGCCGCCCGGACGCCTGTCTCGCTGTCGCCTGGGAGGAGGCCGGCTGGGCCCCGCGCCGCCCCGCCCGCTCAAGTCTCCCCCCTGCAGGTCTCCCATGCCTCCGCCCGGACGCCTCTGCCCGCGGAGGGGGTGTGGCGCCCCCCTCCTGCTCCTGGGGCTGCTGCTGGCCCTGCCGCGCGCGGCCCAGGTGAGACAGCAGGAGGAGGGGAGCAGGGGTGGCCCTGCAGAACCTTGGGCCCCAGAGCCCACAACTCTGTTCTCCCCTAGGGGTTCCCCGATGTGGGCCTCTCAGCTGCGCAGACTGCCCCTCAGCACCCCCAGAAGCACTTCGCACCAGGCACCCTCAAACCTGCCGCTCACCTTGTTGGTAAACACCCCCTGTCCCCCCAGACACAGCCCCCGCCCCGTGCTCCCCTTCTGGGCCCAAACAGCGGTCTGCCCCCGCCCCCCCCCCAGGACTCCCCCCCCCCGCTCCCCCCCATAAGCCCCCCCCCCCCCCCGCGGCCCCTGCTCAGGGCCAGGCCTCAGCCGCGCCCTCCGCTCTCCTAGGCGACCCCGGCGCCCGGGACGCGCTGCGCTGGAGGGCGGGCGCCGGCCGCGCCTTCCTCCGCGGCTTCGCGCTGCGCAACAACTCGCTGCTGGTGCCGGCCGCCGGCCTCTACTTCGTCTACTCGCAGGCGGTGTTCGCCGGCCGGCGGCCCGGGCCGCTGCTGCTGGCGCACGCGGTGCTGCTGTCCTCCGCGCGCCACCCGGCCGCCGTGCCGCTGCTGAGCGCGCAGGCCTCCGTGCGGCCCGGGCCCGCGCCCTGGCTGCGCTCCGTGTTCCGCGGCGCCGTGTTCCTGCTCGCCCGCGGCGACCGGCTCTCCACCAGCACCGACGGCGTCCCGCACCTGCTCCTCGCGCCCAGCACCGTCTTCTTCGGAGCCTTCGCCCTGTAGAAAATTCCAGAAAAAGAAATTGGTCTCAAGGCCCTCTCCCATGATGCCTCCACCCTGACCATTCAAAGGTCGCCTTGCCGTGACCTTCCCGGCAGCCCCGGTCTCCGGGCCTGGGCGCCCGGTTCACACCGAGCCCCCGCCCCGCCGCGGAGGGCAGGAGGGCAGGCTGGAGCGTGGCCGTCCGCAGGCAGGCAGGCAGGCAGGGGTATTTATGAGGGGAAGAAAATAAGTTATTTATTTATGGAGGGCGGGCTGGAGCCAAGGGAGAAACAGCGGACAGGGATAAGGGTGCCCACCGATGGCCGCCCTGGAGGAGAAGAGCCCGCGGACACCTCGCCAGGAGACATGGCGCCTCCCTGAGGCCAATAAAGCTTTTTCTGTGAGCTGCGCCTGCTCTGTCGTCTGTGGGGGGAGAATGTCTGGGGCGGTGTAAGGAATGGGGGGACAGGGCCTTGGAGGGCGCTGGGGGCGCACAGGCGCTGTGGGGGCGGAGTGGGTTCGGGTCTGGGGGCCGGGGGAGCCCTGGCGGACGTGGCCAAGGCGGAGGCTGTGGGGAGCGGGGTCACAGGGAGGAGTGGCCCACGAAGGGTCTCCAGCTGTGGGGTGGAGCACGGCCCGGAAGCACAGGGCACATCTGAGGGAGCGGGTCACGCCCAGGGCTCTAGGCCCTTTCCAGGGATCTGAGGAAGCGGGGGTTCTTTGGGGTCACGAGGCCACACACGGGGCTTCCTACAGAAACCAGCCCCGTGCCTTTGGAGCCAAGACTGAAACAGCCTGTGGAGCCGTCAGAACGAAAGGGGAAGCCTGCCTGAGGGGCTCGGGGTTCCCAGGCTGCCTCGCGCCCTCTGGGCTGTCCCGGGCTTGCCCCTCTCTTCCCCCAGGCTTCCGGGGGCCCCAGCTCAGCCCCAGCTCGTTCCTCCCATTTCTTCCCGTCAAGCACTCAGCTCTCTGAGACCCCCATCCCCAGCCTGCCCTGTGAGTCCTGCCGGAAAGGGGAGGGAAACAGGCCACAGCCCTGGTCCCCAAAAGGAATGGAGACGATGGGAATTGGGGGCAGAGGGGAACTGAGGTCCATCCAAGCCTTTAACGTCCTACATTCAAACACTGACCGGCCCAGCAAGGCCGCCTCCAAATCCAACGGGGAGGTGGCCAGCATCCTTGGTGCCTGGGTGTCCCCAACTTTCCAAATCCCCACCCCCGCAATAGAGAAGAAACCAAACCGAGACAGTGCTGCAGAGCCCACTACCGCTTCCTCCAGATGAGCTCATGGGTTTCTCCACCAAGGAAGTTTTCCGAGGCACCAGCTCTCCCCGCCCTCCTCCCCGGGCTATAAAGGCAGCCGCGCGCGGCCCGCCAGCAGAAGCTCCTCAGCGAGGACAGAGGGAGAGACAGCTCAGACCCCCTGGAAGTGGTCTCTCAGCGCACGCCCTGCGACGCCGACTCCTCCCGCAGCCGCCCTGCCCCTGCGCCTCCCCAGACACAGCATGAGCACCGAGAGCATGATCCGCGACGTGGAGCTGGCAGAGGAGGCGCTGCCCCAGAAGGCAGGGGGCCCCCAGGGCTCCAGGCGGTGCTTGTGCCTCAGCCTCTTCTCCTTCCTCCTCGTGGCAGGAGCCACCGCAGTCTTCTGCCTGCTGCACCTGGGGGTGATCGGCCCCCAGAGGGAAGAGGTGAGTGCCTCGCCCCCCACCAGCCCCCCCCCCCCCCCCCCCGCCCCCGCCACCAAGAGAGAAATGGGGGAGAAGGAGGGTGAGAGGTGGGGAGGGAACACGAGAAAGACGGGGAGGCAGAAAGAGAAGTGGAGAGATAAGGGCGAGAGAAGGCTGGAGAGAGGACCTGTCGCCCAGAAGGTGCTCACTGATGTGTGCTGAGTGGACGGAGGAGCAAGCAGCCCAGCACCCACCGAGAGAGGCGTGCAGAGGGGCGCGGGGCAGGAGCAGAGAGCAAGGGAGCAGACAAGTGATAAGAGTAAAGAGGCAGCAACGAGATAGAGGCGTGGAGACGAGGTGAAGGAAGGAGAAATAAGGAGAGATGCAGATAGGGTGTCTGCCTCGTGGCCAGCACTCAACAAGAGGTTGTGGATGAATGAATGGATGGGTGGAGAGAAAACCAGACACATCCGGCAGGGAGTACACACCAGCTAAGCAGCCAGCTGCCCCCCAGCCTCCACCCCCGTGGCCTGCTCTGATACTAATCCTCCTCCTTCTCCCAGCAGTTCCCGATGAGCGTCCTCCCGCTGGCCCAGACCCTCGGTGAGTGTCGCCTAGCCTCTGCTACCTCTGGGTTTGGGCGGAGTGAGTGTCAGCCCTCGATGGCAGCAGCAGGGAAATGTGCACGGGGGGTGGTGGTGGTGGTGATGTGTGTGTGAGAAATGGGAGTCAGAGTAGCAGGCTGTTTTGGGGAACGTAGGGTTTCACCTTTTCCTTTCCTCTCTCCTCCTCAGGATTGTCTTCTCGAGCCCCCGGCAACAAGCCTGTGGCCCACGTTGTCGGTAAGAGCTCTGGGATGGGCTGGGGTGTGGAAGCAGGTGGGCAGGGAGGGCTCAGGCTGTGAGTGGAGCCCGGGCTGAGCATGGACAGTCCGTGGAGACCCTGTGAGGAGGACTCATTGAATCCAAGGTGGGGCAGGAGGAGAAGCACACAGGCCTGGGGGATGCTCTGAACCTCCTGGCAGAGGGGACAGGAACAGGATGTGGGGGTGGGACTGACAGGGTCACCCTGACTCCCCTCTCTCTCCCTCCAGCAAACCAGCAAATCGTGGGGCAGCTGCAGTGGCAGAGCAAGGTGGTCAACGCGCTCCTGGCCAATGGTGTCAACCTGACAGACAACCAGCTGGTGGTGCCAGTGGATGGGCTGTACCTCATCTACTCCCAGGTCCTCTTCAAGGGCAGGGGCTGCCCGCACGCCCCCCTGCTGCTCACCCACACCGTCAGCCGCTTTGCTGCCTCCTACGAGGACAAGATCAACCTCCTCTACGCCATCAAGAGCCCCTGCCAGCGGGAGACCCCGGAGGGGGCGGAGGCCATGCCCTGGTACGAGCCGGTCTACCTGGGAGGGGTCTTCCAGCTGAACAAGGGCGACCGGCTCAGCGCCGAGATCAACCTGCCTGACTATCTCGACTTCTCCGAGTCCGGGCAGGTCTACTTTGGGATCGTTGCCCTGTGAGGGAGCAGAATGTGCATTCTGGCCCACCTCAATCCCTGTGTCACCCGCTCCTCCCCACCACTCCATCCCCTTCTGGGCCAGAAAGGGGATTGGGGCTCAGGGCTGGGTGCTGAGCTGAAAACTGTAAGCGACACTCAGAAACCTAGGATGCACTGTGGTGTGGCCTGGGCAACGGGGCACTGGCCGCTGCCAAGCATTCAAAGTGCGGGTTTGGATACCTGAACGCAGCCGGGACCCCTGGGCCGGGGCCCGGGGAGCTTTCGTCCCCGCCAGACACTCCAGAGCACCCTTGAGAAGATCTACCTACACACGGACTGAGTGGCTCAGGCCCTTCTTTCTCCACATGTCCCCGGAAGCTTCCCTGAGACGGAGCGCCGAGGGCCAGCTCCTCTGTTTATGTTTGCACTTGTGGTTATTTATTATTTATTTATTATTTATTTATTTGCTAATAAGAGTATTTATTCGGGAGGTCAGGTGTCCAGGGAGACCCAATGCAAGGGCTGCCCGGGCTCAGGCACGTTTTCCGTGAAAATGGAGCTGAGCTCCAGGCTCTTCCTGCCTGGCCTCCTGTCCCGGTGTCTCCCGTTGCTTGTGTTCTTAAAAGATATTGATCTGATCAAGGTGTCTACCTAATGTTGATTTAGTGACTGACTGTCGCTACATCGCTGAACCTCTGCTCCCCAGGGGAGCTGTGCCTGTAACCGCCCTACTGGTCAGTGGCGAGAAATAAAGTGCTTAGAAGAGCAACTTGGTCTCTTTCTTGGAATCTCCTCCGCACTGGGCGTGCGGCCTGCTCCCTGCAGTCCTCTCCCCGGGACTTGCGGAGCCCGGACTCCTGGACTGCTGGCTCAGGAGACCCACAGCACCCAGAGCTCAGCAGACAGCCCCCCCGAAGGAACCCGCAGCCCAGCCCGATGGCCTCCCCGCGGCTGGGAATTTCCAGCTCCGGGAATTCCAGGCGGAGAGGGGAAGTCCTGAGCTCAGGTGCTCCGGGCGGCTGCTGGCGGTTGTGAGAGCCGGGAGGAGCCCTCCGCCACCTGAGTCACAGCCAAGGGCTTCCAGACATTCAGGCATCCGGGCTCCACCCCCGGGGGTCTCAGCACACCTGCCGCCTGGCCCCTGACCCGGTCCCTGGCCTCGTCACACGGAGAGAGCGGTGCCCGCCGCGGACGCAGCCACAGAGAACAGCTGCCACGGGCCGCACAGCACCTGACCAGCCACGTGAATCCCGGCTTTTCCCCTTCCCTCAGCCGCACCATCTACCCCTCCCCTCTCGGGGGTAGGACTGAAGAGAGAAAAGGAAGTAAAAGGCTAGCAATAAGATGTGGGTGGCGGTCCACACGCCAGCTTGGTCTCCCTGGATTTTCCTGGCAAATGAGGGGAGGGCTGCGGGGGGGGGGGGTCTTGGAAAGAGAGCACTCCCCCGCCCCCAGGAGGCTCTTCTGGGCCCAGAGCCACAGAACGTGTGGAATCAGAACCCGAGGCCCCGAGAGCAGGGCTCTCCCGGCTCGCAGGCTGGGTGCCTCGCTGCCACTGAGGAACAGCACAAACGTAAAATGTCGTGTGGCCAAGCAGCTAAATTACCAACATCAAGGAGGCTGAGGCGGGAGGAAACCATTTTTTTCTTGCTTTAACCAGTCTAGAGCTTAAGCTTTTGAACTCCCCCGTCCTGTCATCAGACCTCCTGACAGCCTCTGCGGAGGCTGAAGGACGGAGGAGCCAAGGCCCACGTAGCCGGACCCCGGGTCCCGCGGACACCGAGAACGACTCCCTGGACCAGCGCCGAGGCGGAGCAGCAGCTGCTGCTTCTGGAGAAAGGACTGCTTCCCACAGAGCCTCGCTCGCTCTCCTCCTCTGAGCCCGGCGCCCGGCCGAGTGCTTCCAGTCTGTAAGCCTCGGGCCTCGGATGGACAATAGTTACTGCCGGCCGGAGCCTCCCGATGGCCAGCCTCCACCGGCTCCTGCCGGCCGGAGCCTCCCGATGGCCAGCCTCCGCCGGCTCCTGCCATCCAGAGCCTCCCGATGGCCAGCCTCCACCGGCTCCTGCCGGCCGGAGCCTCCCGATGGCCAGCCTCCACCGGCTCCTACCATCCAGAGCCTCCCGATGGCCAGCCTCCACCGGCTCCTGCCATCCAGAGCCTCCCGATGGCCAGCCTCACTGCCGGCCGGAGCCTCCCGATGGCCAGCCTCACTGCCGGCCGGAGCCTCGCGATGCAGGGCGCTCAGTCAGTCTGCTTGGACCCGCGCTGCCCGGGCTGAGCCGCGGGTGCTTGCCTGTGTGCTGTGTGTCTCCGTGACGGCTCTGGGGGCCGGTGGTGAGTCCCCTAGGTTGTGACTCTCCTTCCGTTACCAGAGTCAGATTCCTTCCGCACGGTGGGAGTGGGGTTCTTACATGTCTCTAGAACTTCCTAAGGTTTGCATGGGAGATTGAGTGTTTTTATTGGCGTTCCCTTCCCAGTCCTGGAGGAGGTGCGCAGGGGACCGCGCAGAGCCCGGAGGAGGCCGGTGTCCAGAGCTGCCGCCACGCGGGTCCAGTTCCCCTCAGCTCCGTGGTGCAGAGGCCACACGGCTCCAGGCCACGTGGGTGAATGCAGGGTCCTGAGGGGCCTGAGGGCCACAGGCCAGGAGCCAAGAGCGAGAACGCCTTTGTCGAGAAGTTAAGTACCCAGACGCCCACCCTCACGGCGGCCATGCCTGCTCTGGCGTCACCTGCCCCCGGTGCGGCCGCCGGAGGAGCGCCTTCCCACACACGCAGCCTCCCACGAGCCCGGCCTTCCTCCGTCCCAGTGGGGCCGGGCCGCAGAGCGTCACCACAGCTCCGGCAAAGCCGCCTGCGGAGCTCTGGGCTCCGGGCCGGTGGCCGGCGGCCGGCAGCGGTGACAGTGCCGCGCCTCTGGCTGAGGGCCGGCCGTCCACGTGGGCCCCGGGCTCCGCCGTGGGACCGGCGCCTCTGCCCCGCCTCTCCGGAGGACAGCCCCGGCTGAGCACCAGCTGTACACAGTTCAAAGCCTCGGCCGCATTCTCCTTAGGCCATCCTCCCAGCGGGCCTCCACACAATGAGAACTGCCGTGGCCACTCGAGAGATCTTTGGAAATCCCCAAATTAGCTACCTCTTAGGAATGTTAGGCAACCTGAGTGAGAAGGTTTTCAGTCGGAATTGAGGGGCCTCTAAGAAATGAAGTGAAACGATGCCCGGATAGACACCATCTCCTGGTCTGCTCGTCCATCCGTGACGGCTGTCAGGGGCGCTTACCTTTCACATGGGACCCCTAACGTGTCCCAAGCTGCCCCCTAGGAACTCGAGCTGGCCAGCCACATATACAAACATTTGTGTCCCTCCTCGTGTGCCTTTTGGCACAAAATAGACCAACTTAGCCAAAATGACTTAAAACTCTAAAAGCCATTAAGAAAAACTTTAAGTCCACCTCAAAAGCCTCTCTTAAAGAGAGAATTTCAAACCTCTTGGGGGTACAGGAATGAATTCTTTGATTGATATGCAGAAGCTTCTAATCTAAAAGACAAATTGATTTTGCCCTGGATGGTATTTTCAGTGGTTAGAGAGTCAGCCCATGCACTGAAGGGCCACGGGTCCGATTCCTGGTCAAGGGCACATACCTGGGTTGGTCCGGGTACGTGCAGGAGGCAACCAATTAAGTCTCTCTCTCTCTCTCTCTCTCTCTCTCTCTCTCTCTCTCTCTCTCTCTCTCTCTCTCTCCCACACACACACACCTGCCTCCCTCCTTCCCTTCCAGTCTTTCTAAAAATCAATGGGAAAAAATATCCTCAGGTGAGAATTAACAAACAAAAAAAGACAAATTGATTTTAAAAGCAGCTCTAAAAGGATCCTAAAGAAGTTTGACCATCTAAGCAGGTACTTTAACTTTTCTTCATGATTCTACCCACTCCCCCCACCTCGCATTCCCCCCCACCCCCGAAACCTGATATTTCAAAGAACTTAATGACTCTATGGTCAGAAATTTGGCAAAATTGGAAGCTAAAGATTCAAAGCTTGTTGGAGATTTTTTATTTTTTTTAAATAAATTTTTATTGTTCAGATTATTACAAATGTGATCCTTTTCCCCCCTCAATTGCTCCCCTCCACCAGGTTCCCACCCCACCCTCTGCCCTTTCCCCACCACCCACTGTCCTCATCCATAGGTGCACAGTTTTGTTCAGTCTCTTCCCGCACCCCCCACTCCCTTTTCCCCGAGAATCATCAGTCCACTCCCCTTCCATACCTCTGATTCTATTATATTCACCAGTTAATATTGTTCATCAGACTTTTAAAATTCCCTTGGTTTTTAGATTCACTTGTTGATAGTTACGTATTTGTTGATCATAATTTTTATCTTTATCTTCTTCCTCTTCCTAAATAACCCCCTTCAGAAATTCATATAATTCTGGTTTGGTGGTGATGAACTCTTTTAGCTTTTTTTTTTTTTAATCAATCTTTATTGTTCATATTATTACAAAGGTTCCTCATTTCTTCCCCCCTCCACCAGGTTCCCACCCCACCCTCTGCCCCCTCCCCAACCCCCATTGTCCTCATCCATAGGTGCACAGTTTATGTTCAGTCTCTTCCTCTCTCCCTTTCCCCGATAGTAAATCCCTTTTCAGATAGTAAATCAGTTACTTAGCATTTTCTCATATCAATAATACCTCCACATGCCCAATGATACACTTCACACAAAAGACATTTCCAAATAGGTCAACCAGCCTCATCCAGGCCCCACCCAAGGCACTCACAGATCAACACCCCAGCGCTATACTAACTCAACACATCCAGATCTAAGCCTTCATCACTTGATTCAGCAGACCCTCAAGTTCCCGCAAAAGTTTCCAGCCATGTCTGAGAGGCAGCCTTGGGGCAGGGACAGGCGAGGAGCGAGCTGTTCCGGGCCTGGCTGCTCCGGGACTGGCCTCTGTTGCTCTGGTTCGTTCCACAACCAGCTGCTCCAGGTCCAGTCACTGCCGCTCCCGACCTAGTTGCTCTGGACTTGGCTGCTGCTGCTCCGGGCCTGGCCGCTCCCAGCCTGGCAGCCGCTGCTCCGGGCCTGGCCACACCCCACCCGGCTGCTTCGGGCCTGGCCGCTCCAGGCTTGGCTACTGCTGTTCTGGGCCTGGCTGCTCCCAACCCGGCTGCTCAGGGTCCGGCTTCTCCGGGCCACTCTGGTTCTGGGTGTTTCTGGACTGGCCTCCCTGGGCTTGGCCGCCTCCGCCTCAGGCCTGGCTGCCACTGCCCCAGGTCTGGCTGCTCCAGGCCTGGCTGTTGATGCTCTGGTTCTGGCTGCTGCTGCTCTGGGGCCTGGCTGTTGCTGCTCCGGGCCCGGCTGCCACTGCCTTGTGCCTGGCCACTCTAGGCCTGGCCGCCACTGTTCCAAAATTCTGTCCTTTTTTTTTTTTTTTTTTTTTTTTTAAAAAAAAAAACAACGCATTTATGTTGCAATGTTGGCTGGTGAGTTGAGTTCTGACTTAGTCTTTGATTTTTCAAAATCTTCTTTGTGTTCTTTCTTAAGTAATTTTACTATCTTTTGCTCTCACTTGATTTCTTCACATTGAGAACTTCTTTGGTTTCTTCCTCCTTGTCCTGGGAGCTCAGCAGGTTGGCCTGTGGCACCCCTTTGTTCTCCACGGGCTCCTGTGCTGCTTCAGCCTGTTGCTGGGGTCGGCGCCGCCCAGGAAGCAGCCCCCGGCCTTGGCTCCGTTGCCCACGCTCAGCGGTCAAAGGCTCAGGGGCACCCCCCCCCCCCGGGGTCCCCGTCGCCCGGTTCCTTGCTGGTGCACAGCTGGCCGGTGTCCGGCAGGGGCTCCTGCTCCGCGTCGCGATCCTCCAGTCTGGAGCTTTTTTTCTCCTTCCCGCTAGGGGAGTCTAGCATCAGAGTCAACAGACTGTCCTCTGTGCGCAGTGTGCGCGACTCCGGGGGCTCCACTTTTCGCAGCTCCCCCAGGACTCCACCTCACAGCCCCGTCTCCCCCTGCCTGAGCCTGGGTCCCCAGGGTCTGGCCTAGGACTGGGGTTCAGAGCAGTCCGGACTGAGGCTCAGCGCCGCCGGAGGCTTTGTTTCTTCCGGCTAGGGTAATCCAGCATCAGAGTCAACATTCCGTCCTCTGCGCGCAATGTGCGCGAGACTCCGGGGGCCCTGCTTTTCTCTGCTCCCCCGGGATTCTGCCTCACAGCCCCTGCCGGAGCCTGGGTCCCCAGGGTCTGGCCCATAACTGGGGCTCAGCGCTGCCGGTTCGGGGGTTCAGCCCAGGCTGGGGGTTTTATTTCCTTCCTGCTAGGAAACGCCAGGCAGCACCCAGCCCTCTCCTCCTCTCCGGCTGCGACCTCTCCGCGCGCGTGCGTGCGGGCGCGCAGCATGTCTCCGTACCTTAGGCTTTTTTCAGCTCCTCTGATTTTCCTTCTGGTTTTCTCTTTCCTTCTTGTTGTAGAATTTTCAGTCAGTTGACTACCTGTAGCTCTGGGCAATGTCCACTCTACATTTTAGTTGTATTCCATTGAAATTGTTGTGTGCTGCTGCAGTTAGATGTCTACCCTAGCAGCCATCTTGGATTCTCCCCCTCTTTTAGCTTTTTTTTATTTGTGAAGCTCTTTATCCTTTGATTCTGAGTGATAGCTTTGCTGGGTAGATTATTTTTGGCTGTAAGTTCTTGCTATTCATCACCTTGAATATTTCTTGCCATTCCCGTCTGGCCTGTATGGTTTCTGTTGAGAAATCAGCTGACAATCGTATGGGTGCTCCTTTATAGGTAACTACCTGCTTTTCTCTTGCTGCTTTTAACATTCTCTCTTTGTCTTTTGCTCTTGGAATTTTAATTATGATGTGTCACCAAAGTGTGGTCCTCCTTGGATTCCTTTTGTTTGGGGTTCTGCAGGCTTCCTGGACTTGTGAGTCTATTTCTTTCCCCAGGTGGGGGAAATTTTCTGTCACTATTTCTTCCAGTATTCTTTCGGTATCTTGCTCTCTCTCTTCTTCTGGAATCCCCATAATTCTGATGTTGGTTCGCTTGAAATTGTCCCAGAAGTTTCTTACACTATCTTCAACTTTCTGGATTCTCTTATCTTCTCCCTTCTGCAGAGGAGTGTCCTCTGGCTCTTTGTGTTCTAAATTTTTGTCTTGATTCTTGCGATCTTCCAGTCTGTTTTTAGGACTTTGTATAATATTTTTTATTTCAGTCAGTGTATGTTTTTTTTAAAAAAATATATTTTATTGATTTTGTACAGAGAGGAAGGGAGAGATAGAGAGTTAGAAACATCGATGAGAGAGAGTCATCGATCAGCTGCCTCTTGCACACCCCCTACTGGGGATATGCCCACAACCAAGGTACATGCCCTTGACCGGAATCGAACCTGGGACCCTTCAGTCCCCAAGCCGACGCTCTATCCATTGAGCCAAACCGGTCTCGGCATCAGTCAGTGTATGTTTAATTTCTAGTTGGTCCTTTTTCATATCCTTGATGGTCTCACTAAATTTATCAGCCTTTTCTAGAAAATTCTTGAAAAACCTTATAACCGTGGTTTTGAACTGTATATCCAGTCCTTTACCTTCCTCCATTTCTTTCATTTGTGACCCGTTTTGTCTCCACATTTTCGCTGCTTCCCTGAGTTGGTAGAGTGGCTTTGTGTTTTAGGGTCCAGTGGCTCGGCCTCCCCAGCTACGTGAGGTGGACACCCTTTGTGGGCTGTGTGCACAGCCTTGTTGTCGTATCACTGGGAGGAATTGACCTCCAGGCTAATTGGCTGTGAGGATCAGCTGTATCTGTGCTGGGAGAACTTCTGTGCTGGAGACACCCTTATGGGATAAGACTTGCAAAAGCCTCTGTGCTCAGCTTGGATGGGGCAGAGTCTCAGGGCGGGGCAAACAACAATGGCTTCCGTCAGCCCTGCCCTATGAGGCTCCTGGATCTCAGTGTTCCTTGGTAATTGCTGCAAGCACCTTTGAGAGAAAGCCACCCTCGAGTTTCACCCACTGCCAGACAGTCCAGTTTTCCCCGAATGAGTGTGCTTTCCCAGAAACTCGCCCAGAACTGGAGTTCAGTTCAGTCGGGAGCTTCTGTCTCCCTCCCGCTTTAGAAGCCAGCTGTGCAGTCAGCTGCCCGTGCAGTCAGCCGCCCATTCTCTTCTTACCTCAGCCTTCCGCAGCTCCTCTGAGTCTCACTGTGCTTTCCTCTTTCCTTCTAGCTGTAGATTTCCCACTCCGCCAGCTTTCCTGTGGTTCTGAATGGTGTCTGTTTTGTCTTTTAGTTGTAGTTTTGATATTGTTGTGCAAGGGAGCAATTTAGGTATTTATCTATGCTACCATCTTGGTTTCCCAAAAAAACAGATTCAAAGTTTATCTACTTTTGACTTCTATATATATATTATTGATTTTTTACAGAGAGGAAGAGAGGGGAGGGGGATAGAGATTTAGAAACATCAATGAGAGAGAATCATCAATCAGCTGCCTCTTGCTCACCCCCCACTAGGGATGTGCCCGCAACCAAGGTACATGCCATTGACCAGAACTGAACCTGGGACCTTTCAGTCCGCTGGCCGATGCTCTATCCACTGAGCCAAACCGGTTTTGGCTACTTTTGACTTCTTATTACAGTTAACTAAAACATAAATTTGGATCTTTTAATGGACATGTTTCATACTTGAGGAAGCATAAGTACCTAAAAATTATGAAATATTGAACCTGCCAGTGTGG